TTATTCTTTTCTTTTCCATCTTAAATGTTTTTTATTTTATTACGCAAGTGGACGGGACAAGCCGACAAGGGTAGATAAAGAGAGAGCATAACTTAAATGAGAAAATAGAACAAAAAAGATGTTCCTTCAAAAAAAAAAAAAAAAAAACTAAATAGATATGAATGCACGTCAGGAATTAATTAACAATATATCCCCTTCGCTTTTTACGCATCGATTTGAGTTACAATTATTGTTTTCCAATTACTCTCTTTAAATGTGAAATCCCTCGTTGCATCAAGATCAGCCATACAAGTGTCTTATAGGCCATATCCTTGGATTCCGTGGAGGTGTCCGGCCCCACAAAGCCATGTAGGCTACCTCTAATCTTGACATTTGGTAAGGCCTCTTTATTATAAATATATATATATATATATAATATTCATTAATGCATGAACTGAACCTGGGCTATATATATATATATATATATATATATATATGTGGAAGATGAATATGAAAATATGAAAAAATTTATAAGTATTAAAAATTAAAAATTTAAATTATTGAATTTTATTTTTTTAAAAAATAATTATAACATTAATTAAATTTAAATTTAAATTCAAATAATTCATCTCATTTTAAAAGAATTTGAGATAATTTGAAATTAGATCGAGTTAATAATTTTTCTTTCGTAACACACCAAAATTAAAATTTTATGTTGTCATATTAATATTATCATCCTTGCATACAAAATTATTAAAAAAAAAAAAACTCATGCCTAATTTTTTTTTTTTTTTTGCAATAATTTTCCAAATTGAGATGAACAGTTTAGAGAATGGACTAAGAGTCTAGGAGCCTAGGAATCTAGTTTTCTCATCACTTCCAAGTGCATGAACTTAATGGCAAAGATCGTTTTTATTTTTTAGCGTTGTCGCAAAATGTGAAAGGCGAGAAAAAGAAGAAAAGGGTTAGAGATGGCGAAGGCTCAAGACCTAGGAGAAACAGACAAAAAAAAGGATGATTTCTGGAAATCTCATTTGCTATACTTGTCTTAGTGATCTCGATATTTCAGCAATGACTTAAATTTCAACGCAAAACCAAATGAAAAAAAAATTGCTTTTGTTTGCTTATTAATGTTTTGTCATGGACACATGGGTGTAAAATGAAACAGACTTTGCTGCGTCGAACATGATATTACAATGTTTTTTCTCCTTCGTCGCCAATGGGCCATGTGGCTTGGGAAGTGTCCATTTCAGCAACCCCCGCCCAATAAATACTCACTCTCTCGAGTAACAAATAGTCAAAATGTTTATTTAAGAGTGATGGCATCAAAGTCTTCAAGTTTGTCAGCTCTTCGCTGGTGATAAGAACACATTAACATGGTTTTGCTTTTGCTTTCACTGTTGTCCTTATTTTACAATCAACCACAAATTTTAATTGATTTTATTTCATATTTATACTATATAATGTTGATGACCCAAAGTTGTATTTGTCATGCCATGAATTGTGGAAATAATGATGGATAAGGTTGGAAGACTTGTTTTTCTTCCTCGCAATCTCCTAAAGCAGTATTCAACTCTATCCCCTCGCTTGTGTCTATATGAACATTTATTTTACTTGATAGAAAAGATGTAAAGTGACCAAAATAAAAAATTTATTAACTTAATAGTTAAAATTTATAATTTAACTATTAAAAATTAACAAAATTTCAACTCTTAACCATTTTTGTCCTCTATCAAGTAAAGCTTAAAAGTTCAGTTTGAGTACTGGTTTTCTCTTATATCCTTCCTTTTTTTTTTAAAAAAAATTTCTTTGATTTTCTTTTTTATTTTTATTAATCTGACATCAAATATGAATCTATTGTTTGGTTATTGTTATTACAAGACAAGATCACAAGATGAAGCACCGAAAGGCAAATTTATCTTTTTGTCCGAAGTCATCCCATCTTAACTCTTGAGCCAAAAGCCAAATGGCCTATATTCAGGTATATTTGAATATGAACAGTTATACGATGTACTATGACGAGAAATAATGTATACGATCAGGGTTTTTTTTTTTCCTCTATCTTTCCTACTTTTCTTTAAGAAGTATTTCTTTCAATAATATTTAATTATCCCACATGATATATGGATTAAATATCGTATATGAAGAGTACAATAATGAGAATATATTGAGTATACCAATTGACTAGCTTTATTTGGCTAGATAAATGTAAATGGAGAAGCTTTTCACAGAGCAAATTCAACTTGCAATTTGGGATGATAAGTCATAATCATTACAAGAAATATGATATTTGACAACGATATTTGACAACAAAAATTTCATGTTCTGCATGCTACAAGGTACTGCAAAACGTGTTTGCAATAATTTTGTTATAATATTCTTGTTGCAAAGGGTTGTTTGTATTTACCTAGTGCAAACACAACACTTTTTATATTACAACAAAGAAATATTTTACAATATTACGTAAGTTACTTCAAAAGTTACTGACAGTTGTGTAGCTTGTTATTAGAGTGCAAGATTTTTAATTTCAATAATCAAAATTTCGATTTGAATACCAAAAAAAGATACTTCAAAAAGTTCCGTTGTTAAAAATGAAATTTCTTATAGTTTTTAATGTTATATTGGCATTGGACATTTTAAAAAATAATTGGTCTACTACTGATATTAGATAAACCTAGATGGCAAATTCTTGCTATATATAACAATGAAATCGTCCGTTGATGGATTCCCTAACCCCTCAGTGCCATGCCATGAATTTTGCAATACGTCGTTTAGAGCTCCTTTTGTTTATATGCTCAAAGAAAACTTGTTTCGATAAATTTATATTATTAGAAAGTTATTCTTTTTCCAAAAAATCCACTCGGAAAGTTTCCTTTAACTTGTTCGAAGAAGGTCAACTCGATTGCTGCAGAAGTTAGTATATATAAATATATGATATGATATGAATTCATTTTATGGTTTGACATGGGGTTTTCAAAAGTTTCTTTCTTTTAGAAAACAAGGCCATTGACTTGCATCGACAACGTTATCTGAATTTTTTTTAATTGATGAAAAATGTTCCTATGATCTTCCTCAGCGGCAAACATCTGTTGTTGTTTCAACTTGCAATCAATTGCTAGGCTAATGACTGATGAATGAACTGCTGGGTGCTGATTGTCTCTACGTGGATCGTTCTAATTGATTTCCTGTAAGAAACTTGAGTAGTCATCCAACAAACCTAATTATTGACATGTCGAAAATCCCTTCGATGGTGGTTCATTCTTGCCTCCCAAGACGTTACTGATTCTACTTTCGATTTAGCTTTTGGAGGGATTATCTGTTACACTAATTTGATCTCTTTAGGATTTTAGGGATTAACAAAATCTGCAAAATTTTGAATGAGTTTGCTAAATGTTTTGAAAATCGATAACAATAGCGTATGTAAATAATATAAAGAAGATAAAAATGTATATATTTTGTTCGAATTATCCGGACTCTTAATCATTTTTTTTTTTTTTTGAATTATATATCATACAGTGGCGCACCTCACGGTGAGATTTTTTGCTCCCAACTGCACCATTGATGTGCTATCCAAATGCACCGGTGATTTTGGAGGCAAAAAGTAGCCAGAATTCCATAACACCGGGGTGTGATGAAATCCAAATAAACCCGGTTTATAATTGGATTATCGCTTAACTAACAGTTTCGAACAACTTTTCTTGGCCATTAGTTGGTAACAACTTATATCATTACTAATTGTGGCATCCTTACCCTACTTAGTTAATATGGATCGATTTTCGCGATGCAGATGTTGATTGCTTGAGAAGGACTACAAGTAGCCAAGCAATCTGTCACTATAAACTATTGGAACTAGGAAAATGTCTTCTTACTCTTCCTAATTACTTCCTCTCTTCTCTCTCTTTAATAAATGAGTAGGGCATGCAGCTTGCACGGATGCAGTTATTTTCTTTCTTCCTTGCTTTCAAATTAAGTTATTGAATTAATTCACAATTTGTTACGAATTTATTAAATAACCTTTAATAATAAAGGGTATGACCTATAAATTGCATGCCCTTAAAGTTGACAACTTTTTATCTCATGTATTATTGATATTTGATAATAATAATAATTCTCTTTATGGATAATAACTTTTCCTTTTTACACATAACATTCTATTTTTATTTGAAGAAGGTTACAAATTTGGCTCTTTGAGCAAAAAAATTCATGCATCAAACAATATTAAAATGCAAGAACTTTTTAATCACATAATGAAAATAATTTCCGATCATCTCATAAAACTTATTTTGTCTGATTCAAAATTTGAATTTGAAACATCTAAAAGGAATTTTCTAATTCTATTCATCAGGAGTTACCTTAAGAACATTTTTTTGGATAATCAACCAAGCAAACTGAAGTTTTAAACTTCCTTTTTCTGTAAATTATTATGTTGATCTCTTTTATTGAAACTTTAACAAATTACTAATTAATATTAAAATTTATGATTGATGTACTGTCAGTTTACAAATTTTATACACTATCAAAAAATTATATTCATATATATATATATATATATATATATATTGCAACAAGGATCACTAATCAACAATGGGTAAAATGCAAAAAATAATTTCTCCGTTACTATTGATGCGTATCTGCAAATTAAGAATTCTACTTAATTACTTAAGGCCTTAGGGTTACTTTCCCATTGATGCAAGCATCAGAGAGTTTTTGGAGGGGTGTTTTTAATTGTACATGAAAAACCGACTTTCTTGTATATAAATTGTAAAAAATTAGCTTACCCTAGAAAACCTAGTCACTGACTAAATCATGAAACGTAGCCATTAAAGAGGATAATAATAAGAGGTAAAATTAGGGGGCTTCCACCTCCAACTCAAAAAATATACCCCATGATGAATGACACACGGCTTTGAGAGAGAGCTGACTTGTGGCAAGCAATGAGTAAATGATGTTTGCTGTCCGTTTTGACTCTTTGAATACAAATCCCTTTTACATCATCACTCAGGTCAGCGTAAACACCTCCCTCGGCTTTCTTCTCTTCTCTATATATAGATAAGGCAAACCCTTGCCCTTAAGGCTTGTCTGTCTCAGCATCTTTTCTCTTAGGATAGAAAAAGATCTCTTAGGATAGATAAATATTCCTAGATTTCAAATTCTAGCGAGATAAATATTAAATCAAGACCCTTTTTTTGTTTGAGAAGAATTAAATCAAATCTTCAACTGCTCAACAACAACTTGTACTAGTGTAAGGTGAAAGAGAGAAGAAAGTGGAAATGGGTAGACCTCCTTGCGGTGACAAAATCGGTGCGAAGAAGGGACCATGGACTCCTGGAGAAGATATCATACTGGTCTCTTATATTCAAGAACATGGACCAGGAAATTGGAGATCAGTTCCTAGCAATACAGGTAAACAATTCTTGGTTTTTAGTTAATTTAATCCCATTTTCTTGGTTTTTAAAATCTGTGTTAGTGTTTTTTTTTTTTTTTTTTTGAACTTTTTGTTTGGGTTGTTGTGATCATTAAAGAGGGGCAATAAATATACAGGCTTATTTTTTTACATTAATTCATCTGGTTCCTTCTATTACTCTCTTTCAGAGATGTGTGGGGTTAATAACTTTCATCTTCTCTTTTGGGGTTTGGTTTTATTCACAGTTGTTTTTTTTTATGTTGATTTTTCAGGTTTGCTTAGATGCAGCAAGAGCTGCAGGCTCAGATGGACTAACTATCTCCGGCCAGGCATTAAACGTGGCAACTTCACTGAACAAGAAGAGCAGATGATAATCCATCTCCAAGCTCTTTTAGGGAATAGGTAAGATCATCTCTCTCTCTCTTCCTTTCTGATGTAAGGAGGGCAATAATAACAATGAAAAGTTCTTTTTTGGGTGCAGATGGGCTGCCATAGCTTCCTACCTACCTCAGAGAACAGATAATGACATAAAAAATTATTGGAACACCCATTTGAAAAAGAAGCTGAAAAAGGTCCAAACAGGCGTTGATGGCCAAAGTCAAGATGGGTTCTTTTCTACACAATCAGTCTCAAAGGGGCAATGGGAGAGAAGGCTTCAAACAGATATCCGGATGGCTAAACAGGCCCTTTCTGAAGCTTTGTCCATTGATAAACTAAACTCTTTAACAGGCTCAAAGGACATCAACCTCTCTCACCCTTACTTAAGACCATCTCTATCTCAAGGATCTACTTATGCATCAAGTGCTGAAAACATATCCCGGCTGCTCGAAAACTGGATGAAAAATCCACCCAAACCAGCCGCTCATCAAACAAATTCAGGTGAAACAATGACTCAGAATTCCTTCAACAACACAATGACAGCTGGCTCCAGCTCGAGTGATGAAGGAGCATTCAATGCAACTACACCTGAGGCTTTTGACTCTTTTTTTAGTTTCAACTCTTCCAATTCAGATGTTTCTCATGAATCCGTCTCGGTGGATCAGAACGCCAATTTGACCCCTGAAAACAGCCTCTTTCAAGAAGAAAGCAAGCCCAATTTGGGGACTCAAGTCCCTCTCACATTGATAGAGAAATGGCTCTTGGATGATAGTTCAGCTCAGGCTCCTGAAGACCTAATTACTATGACTTTAGAAGATAGTACTGGTCTGTTTTGATAACATCATCTTAAATTAGGGTTCCTTGTTTGTTTTTGGGAGGAGAAAGAAGTGTAAATTACAAGTATATCCATATTATTAGTTATATGCTTTATATGTACTGGATCATAATAAATTAGAAATCTTCTCCTATCTTTTCTTTATATAACTTGGGAATTTCTTCGTTACATTTTCTTGAACCTTGTGATCCAAATTTCACATGTATATCCTAAAAATTACGGTTAGAATTGGGGTAATTTCAATCATCATTTTTAAAGGTCCAGTAAAGTTGAATGAATTTACCGAAAGGAAATATAATGCTAAACAGTCTGAAAAAGTTACAATATCCAAATAGAGATGCAAAACTTTTAGAGTTGAAGTGAACATTCACATTATCTTTTTTTCATGTCATGATATTTATATCTTCAGTTTTGATCACGGTTTTTAGATTAAGGACATATTTGAATGGTCAGTAAAAATGATTTCATAAGATTGAAAATAATGGTGATAGTAAAATTAACTTACATCAGTATAAATATCATGACATGATATATGTAATGTGATAAGGAAAATTTTCACTCTGAAATTGTTCCTCTGCTGATCAGTCTGAAATTGGGATATGACCTAGTAAACAAACTTGGAACTTTTGCATCTTTTGCTAAAATGGTAAGCTTAAATTGGCTGCGAAACCATTTCTCTTATTCATTATGAAGTAATATCAATCCATTACTGCATATTTTCTTAGAATGGCACTGTAATAAATCCATTTTGACTGGCTCATTTGGATTGAAAGGGGTCCAATCAGAAAACGCGGCTGTAACATGATGAGAATCTCTCTCACTTTGTTCCCAGATCTAAAAATACTGTTATTAATTTTGAATGACGTAAATCATCCTTAACTATGATGTTGAAACCTGAATTTAAGCAATGGTGAAAAACTGGTCTGGAGTTGTTGAACATAATAATACCAAAGGGTAAGTCAGCATTACCAGACACTTGAGTCAAGAACAAGGAACTAACTACTTGTACTACAAGAAAACTGTCTGACATTCAAAAAAATCATTAATAAAGCTTAAAAATTCATAAGGTATAGTACAATAAATCCTATTGATGATTAAAATGTATATTTTGACAAATTTTTAATTATCAATATAAATTTATATTGATAATTTTTAAAGTATTGAAATAACTCATAGAGGTATACTAATGGTTCAAGTTTGTTAGTAATTATATATTCGTTGATATAGCATTTATTGTGTGTTCTATCATTATACCTTTTACAGACGATTAGCACCATCAATAGTATAAATTTGTATGTTTTAATTTTTTTTATTTATACTGATGATTAATGCCTGTCAATTAGACTTATAGTTTTTATTTTTCTTATTATATTAACGGTTAACACCTATCAGTATAGATTTGTATGTTTGAATTTTTCTTATTTATGCTTATGGTTACTGCCCATCAAAATATATTTTATTTTTTATTATATTTTACTGATGATTGGTGAATGTCAATATAGCCTAAAATATTTCAACGGTCAAGTACATCGATATAAATGTTAAGACGTTGGTAATTTTTTAATTATATTTTTAATTATTAATATTAATTTATTTATAATCAAAATATGATTTGTTTTCATATAAAGAAAAAATAGACAATAAAATAAAAGATATCTAACAACATTTAAAACTACAAATAAATTTTTTATAATCCACAAATTTAGTATAAGTCAAGAACTAAAGTCATTGTACCAAGTCTGATAAAACAAATATCGATAAAACAAACATCATTAAATGTCTATAATTGAATGTCTACAAACATGTTACTCAGAATAAATAAACAACTTTCTAAAGCAAATGATTCAATCATAGATTTCTACAAATAGGCATCTACGTAATATAAAAAAACATAATTAGATAATCCTTGTAAATTGTCTTATATATACAGAAGGTAAGAATAACGAGAAATGGCAAAAAGTCATAAAAAACCAACCGATTAACTATTGATAAGAAATAAAAATCTATATGATAAACAAAGTGTGCATGCCTATGACTAATGGCCAACATTAGCCTAGATGTGAAATGTAAAAGAAATAATTTAACTTTAAATTAGAAAAAGCAAGTAGGCAAAGGCCTAAATATTTATACATAGACAACCTAAAATAAAGCTGATAGCTAACACTCTGTCTGTCTATCAGAGATGTGGCTCCAAAATTTCTTTTTGCTCCTATATGATAAGGCTTTAATAGCCACATAGTGTAGAAATTTGGTACAGCAATTGACCATTAGTGAAATTTATTTTGGTCAGATAAGCATCCAAAGTAGAATACATCCAATTTGAGAATACAAATGAGCTTAATCTAATTTCCAATAGCTACCTTAAAAAATAAAAATTTATATAAGCTGCATGAAATGCCATTGCATTATTTCAATATGATAAATCGAAAAGATCCACTTCATTGTCAGCGGATAATCATTCATTCATATACTAGCAAACATAATTTTATAAACATTCCATTCATTAATGTAATCACCAACAACATAATTAAAATAAATTTAGGCTTCAAATAGATAATAGTTGTAAGACTAAATGAAAAATACTATAACCTACTAACATAAAAAATAGAAAAAATAATACAAAAATAATAATGCATGGATAAGTCCATACATAAACACAAACTTAAATACCAATACCATCATTTGATTAATCAAGCCAAGCACAATAATCAAACTAGACGATGAAAAAAACTCTAAGCTTTAGTAAAGTTAGTACATAATATAAATGAACTTGGAAAAACCATATTGATTATTTTTGTGTTTGATTAACTAATGAATGATCTTTTGTGGGACTAATTTATGAAAAAAAATGCATGAATAACTTAATGAATAACCTAATTTGAACGTGTAATCTCGTCATTTCTTTAGTTTAATTCCAAATAATAACTTAATAAAATCAACCTGAGATTGTTTTAGTTAACAAAACTATGATTAAACAAATAAATCTAGGAATGCCAAAGATTCGAATACAATGTGCAATAAGATAATTTTTAAAGACCTACACCATGGCAAAATCCAATTGCATGGTTTTAAATGCATTTAGTATTTTATGTATAAACTATATTGCTTACAATTTCTTTATAAGACAGTTTTCATCCATAAATAAATATATATATATATATATATATATATATGCATTAGTTGTTTAGCATCCGAGGCATAAAGCTATTACCATACAATAAAAAAAATTCAATAATTGACCAAAAGAGTGCCATCAAATCATTAGTAAAAGACAAATAAAGTTGGGTAGATATGCATGTTTTTACGAATAGACTGTACCTTAATTGTTGATAATTTAAGTTTTCAGTTACTGTTAATTGAAGCTTTAGCATGTTACCAACTAAGCTTAGTAAGTAAAATACAAAAAGTTGAAATAGGCATCCCTAATGTGCATAATCACTAGTGCATGGTATTTAAATTTTCAAAACTTTGGTTATTAAGTAAAATTATTACTAGCAACAAATAAGCAATTTAAAAAGCTTAGAACCAATCAAACATTTAAATACAAAAATCATTCAACTAACTAACCTCAATTAGCTAATCTGAGCAATATCAATCATATTAATTTGAAATAATTAAAAGATTAGAGCAAGACTATACACTTTGAAATTGCATCATATCATTAAAAACTTAAAACTCTGGGACAAAGAGGATCCTAAAAATCCAAATCCTATTAATATCAAAACAATAAATAATTAACTTGAAGTTGGATGCAGTCCAGTGAAAGAGTAAACCAATCTTGAATAGCAAAACAAATAGAAGGAAAATAGTATGATTGCAACAACCTAAAGCATAAAGTAGAGAAATCTGACATAAGCATTTTTGGAAACAAGTTTAGGTAGCTTATTTTTCTTGAAGCAGAGTGTAAAACTCATTAATAGTGAACTTGATCAATGGGTATAGAACCTTTTTGGATTTATTTTTCATGTCAACAGAATTCAATGCTTGGAGTTAAGGCTGTTTCAGAAGATTCACTAAAATCTTTACTTCCATTCTATTGGTCCTTGAAAAATCAATTTGTTCATCTTTGTTTGCAGTGCTTATCATTGAACGAAAGCATTTTTCATTATCATTAGAAAATTGGACACCCTAAAAATTCTAACATGAAAATTTCTTATAATTTAAAAAAGAAATACTTAATTAAATTGGTTAATTTAAGCTTCCAATTATAATAAATTTTAGGGATTAAAATTTAAAAAGAAAAAAAAAGGCAAAAGAAACATATAGTAATGTAATCAAAAGAGACTAGCAATTGACAGAGAAAGATAAACGGTAAGTTGAGGCGAGATGGGAAGAGTTGCCATTGTTTTTCATATCTAGTTTGCATTTCTACTGCTTTTTATGGGTTTTTAGAGAAGAAATATAGAGATTTTGAAGAGATAAGGAAATTTAATATAGCAAAAGGAGAAGGAAGCTTTTTTGGAGGATTTTCATATAATTAAAATACATAGTAATGTTATTAAGCATTCTATTTCCATGATTATTAAGGCCTTAATAATGTTTGATTAAAATACATAATAATCATGGCTACCTCTTTGATTAGTAAGGCCTTAATAATATTTTAGTACATATATTTAATGAAATTATCAAATTCATTGATACTAGAGTTCTTATATTTTATAAGTGAAATTAACAAGATGATTATATATTAAAAATAAAAAATAAAATTTTTAATAAAGTTTTGATTTATTGACAATGAGGAGTCTTTAAAAGTGTATGGTTCAAGTTTTATTGTGTGTGGATTTGGTTCAATTTATGTTGGATTTGTATTCTAATCTATTGATTGATTTTTCAATGGTTTATTGAATGTAATATATATTTTTTTAATTGTTGTCAATAACTTGTTTTTTTGTCCAACAATTATTTAATTTAGTGTTTAATTTTTGGGAAGTTTGAGGAATTATAGTTTTTAAGAATTTTTATTAAAGGAAAATCTTATGAATTAATATTTTTCAAAAAAGAAATTGGGAATTAATATTTTCTTTGGAGGTTATATTAGCAGTTATTATTATAATCATCAGTATATAACATACCTATACTTACGGATATTTATATGTTGTTAGGAAAAATTTACCTATATCAACAGTTGTACAAAGTATTGATATAGATATTGTATATTCTAATGGTATTAAAATCCATCAATATAAATATCTTTTACGAACACAATTTAATTGTCAGTATAATTAAACGTCAGTAAATGAAAAAAGTCTTTTGTGTATACTAATGAGTAGATGTAACCGTTAGTATATCCTATGACTATACTAACAAGTAATTACTTATGTTGGTATAAGTATTGTTTACTTGTGGATAGTTTTACTA